GGCGTAGATTCTCTCAAAGTACCGCGATGGGCCGGAGTATTGTAGATTTGCTGAGCAACCGCAAGCCGATTTAGCATTACACCAGACGTGCTCTAAACAAGTAAATTGCATTCACGTGAGCGATTTTAAAGGGAAACTAACAATTTCTCCAAATGCGGAGTATCCGTTTTTAATTTCACTTTCCAATCTGATCGCCTGTGCTGTCACACTTAGTAAAGACCGATTGTATGCTGATAGTAAGCCAGCCAGACGCCTTCGAGCTACAAGTGAGCCACCCTCGTTGAATTCGAAAATTGACACCGAAAGAGGCATTCTGAATAGACTGCATTTGAAAAAGGAGCATTACTCAATGTTTCCTATATTCTAAAAGCAAGTATGATGTGCTCACATTGAGCCAGGTTCGGCACTTGCTCGAGGATCATGAACAGCGGTTAGGAGCAGATGCAAGAGGCATTTCTGCAGTTTCGATCTAGTTAAAACAGACTGCACAAATACCACAAAAGGTCGCGATTGTTGATCGCAAACCATGCCACAGAGCTCACTTAGCAACTCCGTGAGGAAGTCAAGAGCAGCGATCTAGAAAAAATATTTCAATTCTACTCTGATTATAATTCGAAGCAACTAGCAAAAAACACGCAAGCGGATAAAACTGTGCGGAATATCTCTACGACCTTTCATTTTGCCAAATAAGTATCAGTCTGAGTGCCTTTCTGATTATACAACTTCTATGCACTACGTATATATTCAACCAAAGTGAAACTTTTGCGATCTATTCTTAAAAATAATAAGAATAAAATCTATCAAACCTTGCATTTCCATGCCATTACCAGATCGGCTTCGGTTACAGGGCATACAGGCGAATTCAAGAAAAAAGAACGCAAAAAATGGAGAGAAATCTAAAAAAAAGTTTCTGAGACCTGAAATCTTTAATAGATGAATGAAAAAGTTGAAATGAAAACTCACGGTAATCAGAAGCTCCAACAGCGTGAGATGTCTATGTTTTGTTGCGTCCTCTTCGCCGGTCGTCGCCCAGAAATGCTGTCCGAGAATAGCTCTTACATGCTTAGCCATGAGATCAACAAGAGATCCCGCGAGTGGGGTACTTAACCCATTGTTGTCACCATTTAAGGCTGCAGTACCGGAAGATACCAAACAACTGCAATATTATTGTGTAATCATTTTCGGCAAAATCTGGTCTCTTACCTCAGCAACATGCGATTCGAGACATGGGAGCCACGAGGACAGAGCAGTGCTGTCAAAATCCGAAATGCTGTTTCAGCTCTGCCGAGGTCGACAACCCTACCGCTTTCCCCGTACAAAAGCATGTGTACATGGAGTTCATGAAACAGGCTTACGCCTTCAGAAGCAGATTCAACTGATGGGCGCAAAAGTTCGGTTGCGTCAAATGTTCTGTAATTAGACGACTGTAATGCGACAGCTATAATCAGGGCAAGTTTGAAAAATACTTTAGCTCCTTCTCCGTCATGCTGAATATGCTTTCTTGCAAGGAATCCTGCCGGCGGTGCCCTTTTTTGAACCTATAATGCTTATAAAAAAATTAGAGGGATAGTATCGAAAAAGAACATGTCTCAAGTACTCGCACATAAAGGAAAACTTGTAATGCGCCGTTGTAAAAA